ATTTATTGAAACGAGAAAAAAATTTACTTTACTGTTCAACTTGAAGAATTTTTCAATTTATTTTTTTAAATACTTTCCAAAATTTTTTAGAATAGAAATACCCTTAAAAATAAGTACATAATTAAATGCACAATTTATGCTATAAAAAATTTGTTACAGTTTTAATAAAATAAATATATTTAATCTAAAGTACGAAAAATGTATTTTACTAAAAACATTTTATTGCAAAATTCTTATTGTTTTTATTCATAAAGGTTATTTTCATTTTTAATTATGTCAATTGTTTTTTAAGCTGAATGCAGTTATGTTATTATGCTGGTCTCCTTTTGTCAAAAACGCAATTATGCGATTATGTTTTCCATTATTTTCTACAATAATAACCATTTTAATGATTTTTCAGCTATTGAACTTTGAAGAGCAATATTAAATATATACAAATCTGATGTTATCTCAAATTTGATAAAAATGTCAGTTATGCTGTTATGCCTTTCTTCCACAGAAATTATTTTTAATAATTTTTGAAAAAAGTTCTTTGAGAATTTTAAAATCCATTTGTTTACGAAATTTAAATTATTCAGAAATTCTTCAACTAAATACGAATTAAAAAATAAATACTTTAAATAATTTCAGAAAAAAATTCAATTAAACTTTTTTAAAATAATTAATTCTACAGAATTGTTAGTTATAAGTATGAAAAATACAAATTTTTAAAGAATTTGATTTGGAACCATTTTAAAATTTAATTATTTCTTAAAATTCATGCTATAATGCTTTTAATATTCAATTATTATGTAGAACTTTAACTGAAATTCATTTTGAAATAAATTTTTATTAGAGAATTCAATAATTTAAATGCAAAAATAAATAATTTATTGAATAATTAAAATTTCTTAAAATTTAAGTCTGATAAAGAATTTTATCAAAACATTTTTAAATTCATTTTTTAAAGGCACAAATATGAAATTTTATGCAAAGTTAGCAAAGCAGTGATATATTTTGTAAATTTCAATTTTTAACGAAATTTTTTTAAATTATTTTTTGTGATTAAGTAGTTAAGTGATTAAGTATCAGTTTTTATTGTTAATAGGCATTATTATTAATTATCTATTAATACTAGGAGAAACTACACGCGCGTTTTTTTAGCTGTCACCTGTAATAATTTCAAAAGATAACATTTTTGTAATTTTTCATAAATTTTTCGAAGAATTTTTTATTGAAATTTTGTAAAGATAATCGAATTTCTTTTGAGTAATGATAATAATAATAAATTAAACACAGTAAAAAGTAAATCTTAATTTAAGAGCTGCCTTAAATTCAACACTGTCTGCTATAATGGTAAAGGATACGAAAAACGTGCGTAAATTCAACATTGACTGTCTTAAAAATGTTGCATCTTAATTCAAGGCAGCTTTCGTGCCTTAAAATAAGATTTTCTTTTTACTGTGAATACTTTGTTTGGCAGGCGTGACATTTACTACTTATTTATATTATTTATAAAAAAATTTTAAATACAAATTTCATAAAATTCAATTATTTTTTTAATTTTTAAATAAAAAATTATTCCAAAATAATTAATAAAAAATAATTTTTTCTCGATAGTTTTTCAAAAATTAAATTATTTAAAAAAATTAATTTTAAATCTGTAAATTCTAATTATTGTTAAAAACAGGAAGAGTTTGAAATATATAAAATCTTTTCAATGCTCAAGAATAACATTCAGAATTTTCTTATGAATTCTTGAAATTGAATATTATTCCAGCACTTTTGACAAAATTTTCTGACTTTTTCCTGATTTCCCTGAATAAATTTAGAAAAATAGTGATTTTGTGTAGAATTCTTCTGAATAATTGAATTTTTGAATGTTAATGATATGAAAATAATATTAATTAATTTTGACTAGAAAACTATTAGAAACAAAATAACAAATAAATAATTAATTCTAATTAAATGTAATTTATTTTTGATAGTTAATAAGTCAAAAATAATGTAATGAACATATTTTTCATTATCGACTCATTGGCATTCACGCTTTCATTAATTTTCATGTGACATGTAATGTAAAAATTACATTATTGTTATATATATATATATATATATATATATATATATATATATATATATATATATATATATATATATATATATATATATATATATATATATATATATATGTTAAAAGTGAAACAAGAAACTTCACGCGCGCGTTATTTGTGCTAGTTGTAAAAATAAAATCCCATACATTATAAAAAATTGCTTTAATATTTTCAACATTTGATTTGCGAACTTTCAATTATATTAAACAAAACTATTTAATTGATATATATTAATACTAAAATATAAATGATTTAGAAACAAACTTTAAACCTATATTTTAAAAAATGTTAAACATTGTTGGTTGTTAAGTTGAAGTAATATTTCAAATGGCCACAAACAATAATCCATAAATAATAATAAATGTATTGCACAATAATTTTTGAATATTATTATATATATATATGAAACTCAAAATTTTTTATTAAGTGAATATTTTAATAGATATTTAATTTAATACATATAAGCAAGAAAATATTGCATTTTAACTGACGAAAATGTATAGTTTTGTTCTAATGTGCGAAAAGAATTTAAAACTAACATATAAAATAAAAAATAAAATTATTATGAATAAGTATTAAATATAATTATTAAAATATCACATAGTTATAAATTTGAACAGCTAAAGTAATAAAAATAAAAACTAAAGTTTCCAAAACGTTTATTTAACTAAATGTTTGTTTGTGCATTATTCATTTCCAATTTTTAAAGCAATGACTTGTGCAGTAAGCAGATTATCAAATTATTATAACTGCTCCGTCGAAAAATATGGGGCAAGATTTCTTGCTCTATATTAACCTTGGGGCGGATTTTTAGAAAAGCCCGAATACGTCTTTTGCTTTAAAGCAAAATTTGTTTCTCAAATACGACAATTGCTCTGACTAAAGGCAGAGCATGTAACACGAATTTGCTTTCTACCTGCTGCCGGGTGGATGTTTTCAAATTGAACACGCTACCTGACTCGCCCCGGAGTAGAGTTGTCAACCCGAACACGTTATTCTTGTTCGGAGCAATCTTGGAGCACTCTAGAGCATATAACCCGAATGTGCTAAAAATTCTCAAAGAACTTTTTCAAAAATTATTAAAAATAATTGATTTAAGGTATTAGTCGCGTAAAATGGTTTTCGTCAGATTTTTTTCAAATTTTGCATACTTATTCCTGAAGTATTTATCTACAGAATGAGACCAATTTCATTAATTTTGACCGTTTCAAAGCTTCAAAAAATGAATTCAAAGTTCATACATTTTGCATGGAGGGAGCACCCAATGCATGTATTGATTTTGTTTAATAATTATTTATATGATAACTAATCGTCAGATTTTGAAATAAAACTACCAAAGTATTCAATTAGATGAAACAAATAAATAAAAAAAAACATGACATTTTTTGACCGCGCCAAACTATAAATATATTGACAGAAAGTTAAAAAAATAACTAAATTATATGAATTTTCATACGAACGAATAGAGTGGGGAGTTAAACTATCTCTCTCACTTTCACTGCCCCACTCTAGTAAACGGCCCGGTAAACTTTTGACCAGAGCCAACTGAACGACTAATACCTTAAAGAAGAATTTTAGTTAAAAATTCTAGAAAATAATAATTCAATTAAAATAATGAAAATAAATTTGAAGAAGTTACAGTAACAATATTCTGATAATATAAAATAATGTTTTTATTTATCGGTCATCTTTAATATTATTAAAAACATGAAGATATTGATTACTTTGAGTCGAAAACTCGTAGTGATCGATTTCTTCATGTTTTATAATATTCTTATCAATTCTTATAAGTTATTGAATTTCAAAAGGTTTGAATTTGAAATTTTTGAAAATCTTAATTCCAATGGAAAAATAATAAATGATTAAAATTTATTTATTTTACTTAAAACTATTTTTATAATAATTATTAAAAAACATGAATTTTCAAATAATTTTACAATTAAAGAAATTCGTAACCAAATGTGTTAGAACATTTTTTTGAGAGTGAATCTGAAGGTATGGAGTCAAAAGTTCCAAAACAAAAGTTCCAATTCCGTAGGACTCAAATTATTATTTTCCCAAATGACATTTTTTCCAAAGTATTATTTTTCCAAAGGCCATTTTTACCAAAGTATTATTTTTTCAATAGTCCAAACATTGTTTTTTTTTTATTTTTCTAATTTCAAAGTGCAACTTTAAGTCAGGAAACGTTCAGTTGTTATTACCGTTGTTATTTTCATAAATTGTCATTCAACGTGTGCTCATTCCAAAATTATATTGTGAAATTAAAATTTTTTTTCAAATTAAAAAATAGTAAATAGTAAAATTATATTAAATTGTAAATTAGTGAAATTAAAAATTTTATTTAAACTATAAAATAGTGAACAGTGCAATTATATTAAATTGTACATTTTAATTATGGCAGAATTAATACAAGTCGAAAAAAAATTATTTACATATCGAAGGATTTCTGTATTACAAGCATTCAGATGGAAAAAATAATGTGAAATATTGAAGATGCTTTATTTTTTCAAACAACTCCAATACTTTTCACTTATTTAACAATTCAACACTTTTTATTTTGGAAATTTCACACTTTGGTAAATTTATATTTTCGACATTTTGGGCTTTGGAACTTTTGTACTGTAGAAAAATAAATTTTGGATCTTTTCATTTTGGAACTTTTTTCTTGGAATTTTTCGATTGGAACTTCCGTTTTGAAACTTTTGTACCCCAATCAATCAGAATATTCTTTAGGATCAGGGAAAAAGACAATTTTTTGTCTGAAAATCAAGAAAAAACAAAATTAAATTTTTGTGTCAACCCTGATTATTTATTTCAACTTGTTTTTTTGATAAAAACTTCTTTTTATAATCATCAATCATCTATATTTCATTATTATAATTGTTTTTACTAATTTTCTTACAGTTCAGCGATGAGGAGGAAGAACAGAAGCGAGTTGTTCGCTCAACAAAAGAGAAGAGATATGAAGAAATCACCAATCTAATTAAACTTATACGAAATTATAAAAAGATTAAGGACATGAGTAGCATGCTTACAAGTACGAAAATTATTATCAATTTTATTATTATGATTATTGTTTTTATTCCTCTTATTATTATTATTTTTTGTTAACTTGTTAATTTTACAAATTGTATTTATATTATTTTAATACTTATTCGTTTTTGAAGGTTTTGAGGATTTAATGAGAGCTTATCAAAAAGCTTTGCCGGTGGTGATGAAGGAAGAAAGTGGACAAACGCCTCGTTTTTACGTAAGATGTTTGGTTGAAATGGAAGATTTCATAAATGAAGTTTGGGAAGATCGTGATTTTCGTAAAAATATGTCAAAAAATAATTCCAAATCACTAACATCATTACGTCAAAAATTACGAAAATACAATAAAGATTTCGAGGAGGATATTGCCAAATTTCGTGAAAATCCTGATCAGGATGATGACGAGGAAGATGATAAAGGTAATATGTACAGTCAAAAAACTCTCCTTTTAAAGCTCTTTTCCTAAGCTTTAACACTATATAAAACAGAAATTAAAAAAATAAATTTGTTAATGTTTAAAAAATATTATTGCAACATAAAATTTTTCAATTTTTTTGGATTTTTTTAGTGATACAGTTTTTTAGAAAATCTCACATGTTAATCGCAGATATATCATTTGAAAAATGGTTTTAACACCTTTAAAACGCATTTTAAAAAAATTTTTACGATAATTTTTAAGAATAATAATCGTCGGGTTAGCGCAATATCAGACTTATTCGACAAACAAAGCAAGAACATACTTATTCAGAAAAAAGGCAAGAACATGCTTATTCAAAATATAAAGTAAAAACAAACGAATTCGCAAATTAACCTTTTTAGTCAGACTTTAAATTATCAAGAATATTATAATTTTATTTCAATAATACTTTTCATATTAGAAAAACAAAATATTAAAAAAATTATTCTCAATGGAACTAAATAAAAGTTATTATTCGTAAAACAATTGTACAAAAGTAAAATTTAAAATCTGACTAAAAAGGTTAATTTGCGAATTCGTTTGTTTTTACTTTATATTTTGAATAAGCATGTTCTTGCCTTTTTTCTGAATAAGTATGTTCTTGCTTTGTTTGTCGAATAAGTCTGATATTGCGCTAACCCGACGAATATGATCATTTGTTAAAAGAATTAGCAATTTTGTTCAATTGTTGATAACTCAAAAACGGTTCGTTTAAAAAAAATGTTTTAAGAACATAAATTGTTCATTTTTACATGTAGAATCAGAAAAAATATACAAAATTTTTTTAACGTATTTTTTGCATTTTTTATATTTTTAATAGAGCTGTGCAAATTTCAAAAATTCGATTCTCTCCATAAAAATTAACATGGGTTCGGTTCGAATTTCGAACCCATGTAAAATTCGAGTTTCTGCACACCTCTAATTTTTAAGTATTAATCGTAGAAATTTGCAACTTTTACTTACCACAACAAACAAATAAATTTATTATCCTATTTATGTAATTATTTTCAACTAAGCAATTATTTAAATAACTTTTGATAATATAATTAAGTTTATTGTTTGTAAACTGATCAAAAGTTATTTAAATAATTACTTAGTTGGAAATAATTACATAAATACGATAATTAATTTATTTGTTGTGGTAAGTAAAAGTTGCAAATTTCTACGATTAATACTTAAAAATGTGTCGCGCTCCGAAGAAAGGTACCTAAGAAGCAAAAAATTTGAGGTTAGGTTTTTAATTTTTTGAGTGAAAATACAGAAAGAAAATCAATTAAATTAAAAATTTTTGAAAAATTTTATTTGCAATAATATTTTTTAAACATTAACAAATTTATTTTTTAAATTTCTGTTTTATATAGTGTTAAAGCTTAGGAAAAGAGCTTTAAAAGAAGACCTTTTTGAACTTTAATAATAAACAAAATACAAAACTTTTTATAAAGTTTTTAATCGCTGTAGGGTGGGCAAAAGTTATTGAGCGGCACTGTATATTTAAATTGAATTATGTAATTTGAATTATTATTTGATTGGCTCTAGTTTTCGAGCAATTTACGTTTCAATACCCATTTTTTGAATGAATGTAAAATAATATACCGAAACAGCAAATCTGTCCGCATAGAACCCTCCCGTGGGGGTCCTGGGAGCAGAATAGGCCCTCTGTGATCTGCAGCATGTCGTAAGGCTGCCTGGGCTTTCTCGTTCAGCAGTGGTATACCGATGATGATGGGCAGTGCTGTGTCGGTCCGGCAAGTCTAATATTGATTTGACTCTCCATGCGGGGTTTCATTGTTTTCATTCCGACGGGCTTAACGAACCCGGGGTACCTGAGTTTGAACGCCCGCTCTTGGTGTCGTCGATTCGAATCGGACCCATCAACTGCGGGACCGTGTTTGGTCCGGTATAGGAGAATAGACAATCCGTAAGTCACACAACATGTCGTAAGAGGCGACTAAGTGATACTTTGTTTTTATTTTTTCATTTGAACGCAATACACCTGTCGTCGTACAGGTTTGGTGAGACTACAGTTTGGAAGCAGAACCTTCGCGTGGTCCCCGCTGGTAGTGCACGAGGCTTGTCCTCGCTAATTCACGCCCACTCCTGTTGGGGTATTATCGAGGCCAATACGACTGCAACTGCTTCTCCATTTCATTGGGCACCAGGTCTTCTTGATTCAGGGCACTGTCTACCTTTCGCCAGGACTTGTCCGTGACTCTCTGAGAGCACCATTCTCTCACAGAGTCGGCCAAAGGAATTCGATGTTATCTGAATCGTTTTTCATCCCCGATCGTACATGGTGGTGATATCACTGGAAAGTGGATTGCTTTATTTCGTCGTATCATTAATACCAAACCTTTTATTCAATACAAGCACGATAACTCCTGTTTTTTTCGGTAGAGCTAGAGCGAACCAATTAAACTTGGTATCCAGGGGTTTTGGGACCGCTGATTGCGAATCTGTAATCAGATTTTAATAATTCAAAATGGCGGAATTTTTTTCTTAATTTTACATTTTTATCATAAAGATGTAAAATATTTTTAAAAATTGGTCCGCCATTTTTAATTTTTACATTCTCATCACATGAGAAGGTAGTTTTAATCGAATTTTTACTTTTGCTAATTTTATGAAATCTTTACGTTTTGAGGTGCCCTGAGTCCGGAAAACATGGTCCGGCGAGTGCGTCTGTCTGCATGATTGTAAATTTAAAAATTCCATATTTTTAATAACAATTTTATAAACAATTTGAATTATTTATGTGAGTGACACCGTATTTTCCAGTGTAATTGTTCATGCGCAGTCTAGTGCTCCTCTGACACGTTGATTTGCTGTGCATACACAGCATTTTTCTGTGCGTACACAGTATTTTGCTGTTGAATCTTCTCTCCGTGTAGGAAGTGTACTCAGTAGTCTCTTCTTGTTTACTATACTGTAGGAAGAAGTATCTCCATTATTATCGTTTTGGTAGTCATTTTGAAGTAATTTAATTTATCTTGCGAGTCAGTTCAAATAATACGTAACGTTTTTTTGGGCGGGGTCAAGCTATTTGTTACGCTCAGCAGAAAAAATGGCGCTATTGTATACAACATTGAAAATGAAAAATGGTAGCAGCAGAATTTGACATGCGCGTCTGCATTTACTATTTGAATCTGTGAAGTCGGTAATAGTACATTCTTTTAAATCCTTTTGAACTTAGCTTTTTGACTTATTTTTGTAGTAACTGTAGTCGCGCCTGCCAAATTTTTGCTTTTACTAATTTTCAACAAATTTTAATTGATTCTTTTCGAAGTCGTCATTTTTGTACTCTGCTATAGGGAGAATCTTCTAGGAACAACATGCACAAAAATGGCGCTTTTAAATAGCTGACGACAGGGAGTAAAGTCACTCATTTGTTCGACCATATGAAAATGGCGTCCATTTTCTCCCATGTGCAAACATATAACCGCTGATCCCATGCGTTATTTTTGCCCAAGGGATAAAACGGCCGCCATTTTCATATAAGTCGTACAAGTGACAGACTTTTATTCCCTGTCGTCTGCTATCTGAAATCGACACTTTTGTGCATTAGGAATAAAATATATCGTAAGTAACGCGGTAATAACGGCAGCCAATTTGTTTACGATGGCTGCCTTTATACCCTTGTTGCTTAATATACTATTTTCTAATTAAAATAACAAAGGTGTCGTCCACATAAACCACGTAGCTCTATTTTTGTCATTTTTTATACCCTGCTTTCTAAACTGGCTACATGGATTATGGACGACCCCAAAAAACATGGAACATATAATTGTTGATTTAACAATTGTTTAAATAAATAATTTTCCTTATGTATTACCACCCTATTCGAAACGCCAAAAAACATAAATTTTTCTAAAATAGCTGGGCAATAAGATATCAAGATATATATATATATATATATATATATATATATATATATATATATATATATATATATATATATATATATATATATATATATATGTACAAAGAAAAGCAGTATTCAAAAATAATTTCGCATTCGTAATCAACTATCCCAAAAATTAAAATTAACCCCAATTAATCTCGTAATCAACAGCAATCAATAATATGTGATGAGAATGTAATCCTTAAAGTCGTAGTAACTGCAAGAAAAAAAAGCTTTTATGAAATATATAATACAGCGGAGAAGAAATAGTATATTTCGATACAAGGGGCAATACGCGAGTGCGGCACCGTGTATCGAACAATATTTTTCTTTATAAGTGCAGGCATGACCTCGTTTGGTAAGCACTTGCAGCAGTTTAATATGGCTGATCTCCTCGCAGTGCGAACAAACGGTGCGCAAAGTATTTTGCTCACCGCCACACTGTGAGCAAAATGTTTTGCGCACCGGTTGGTCGGACTGTAAGAGAATCAGCCATTTTGGACTGCTGCCAGTGGTTGTCAAACGAGGGTTTTGCATGCACGTATAAAGAAAACAACATTTTATGAAAGGCATAAGCTATATAAAAAAGAAATAAAATAATCATAGTGATAAATACGACAAGTATATTTAGCGTGACGACCTTTCTTCACGCACCCCGAGGGGCCGTTCAAAAAATACGTAACGCTATTTTTCGGAAATTCGGACCCCCCCCCTCCCCCCATGTAACGCAATGTTGTATACATTAGCGCCATTTTTTCTGCTGACCGTAACAAATAGCTTGACTTCCCCTCCCCCATAAAGCGTTACGTATTTTTTGAACGGCTCCCGAGGTGCGCTGAAGCTTGCGAGCGAAGCGCGGATGAGAATGAGATTTTTTTATTATAAATTAAAGATTTTTTTATATTTCATAGCAGATTTGTAAGCAGCGACCATAAAAACCCCCAAAGACTAATTTTTACTTAAATTGCCTTACATGGTCAAAAGTAATGTTATTTTTAATACGTTTATGGAACAGCGTATGTCACATTAGACATTAAAGGATTAAAGTGTACAGAAATTAAATTTTTTGTTTTTGAATATTAAAGAGCAGTGTTTAAGCTTTAACCCTCTGCTTACGCTGACTTATCCCCATTCTAGAGCTTCTGAATGTAATTCTCATAGTCTCCACCAAGGGAGCGTTCACAAAATCGTCGGGTTAGCGCAATATCAGACTTATTCGACAAACAAAGCAAGAACATACTTATTCAGAAAAAAGGCAAGAACATGCTTATTCAAAATATAAAGTAAAAACAAACGAATTCGCAAATTAACCTTTTTAGTCAGATTTTAAATTTTACTTTTGTACAATTGTTTTACGAATAATAACTTTTATTTAGTTCCATTGAGAATAATTTTTTTAATATTTTGTTTTTCTAATATGAAAAGTATTATTGAAATAAAATTATAATATTCTTGATAATTTAAAGTCTGACTAAAAAGGTTAATTTGCGAATTCGTTTGTTTTTACTTTATATTTTGAATAAGCATGTTCTTGCCTTTTTTCTGAATAAGTATGTTCTTGCTTTGTTTGTCGAATAAGTATGATATTGCGCTAACCCGACGAAATGATGTCACTCAATTTTTGGAGATTTTCGACCCCCCTTTCCCCTGTCACGCAATTTTTGCAATTTCACATGAGAAAAATACATTGTGTCACGTTTAGTAGAGACCCTCCCTACCCCCTAAAGCGTGGCATCATTTGTGAACGCTCCCCAAGTTGCCGAATTGTCGATAACGGTCACTTGCGTAGTCAGAGGGTTAATTTGGTCCTATGCGGACAGATTTACTGTTTCGGTTTATGTTTTTACATTTATTCAAAAAATGCCAAATATGCGTATTTTTGCGTATTGAAACGTAAATTGATCAAAAAGCAGAACCAATTCAATATTCTACCCAGTGAGAAATTTCTTACCGGTCCAATATTGGGAGCCAAGAGACCAATCATCGGTCCAATAAAGGCTCCCAATATTGGACTAATATGGGCTGATGCTTGAGATGTAACGGGTTCGCCAAGCATCGGTTGTTAATATTGGTCCAATATTGGCCGAATATTGGCAACCAAGAGAAAAAAATTTTTTTAAATAAATTTTTTTAATTAAATAATAATAATAAAAAATTAATGTTTATAATTTTTGTTGAATATATTTATTTGTTTAATTATTTATTTTTAATAATTCATGTAAATAATAAATAATTTATTATTTATAAATTATAATTATATAAAAATGCAGCAACTATTAGGAAATAATCGAAATAGCATTCTGCAAAAAAATTCTATCATTGAAAAATCAATGATACGCGAGAGATATCCGCGTCATTAAATAGATTCGCAGATATACTCTGGTGTCGCGACGAATCTCTCGATACTTATATACACTGGAGTCGCCGTGTCAGTTGCGAGAACGGTTACAGCGTCCCTCTTTCGGCAGAGATAAGAATTGTCACGTAAGCTGCGGGTATAATAAGGCCGTCGGTAAAGCGATTTAGCAGTTTACGTGACAATTCTTATCTCTGCCGCAAGAGGGACGCTGTAACCGTTCTCGCAACTGACACGGCGACTCCAGTGTATATAAGTATCGAGAGATTCGTCGCGAGACCAGAGTATATCGGCGAATTTGTTTAATGACGCGGATATCTCTTGCCTATCATCTGCGAATCTATTTAATGACGCAGATATCTCTCGCCTATCATTGATTTTTCAATGATAGAATTTTTTTGCAGAATGCTATTTCCTAATAGCTGCTTCATTTTTAAATAATTATAATTTATAAATAATAAATTATTTATTATTTACATGAATTATTAAAAATAAATAATCAAATAAATAAATATATTAAACAAAAATTATAAACATTAGTTTTTTATTATTATTATTTAATTAAAAAAATTTATTTAAAAAAATTTTTTCTCTTGGTTGCCAATATTCGGCCAATATTGGACCAATATTAACAACCGATGCTTGGCGAACCCGTTACATCCCAAGCATCAGCCCATATTGGTCCAATATTGGGAGTCAATCGGCGCCCAGCACGGCAACCAATATTGGACCGATTAAAGTCTATTGGCAATTTCTCACTGGGTAAAGGAGCATTCAGACCTCTGCAGACTGCCTGAGTGCGCAGACAAAGATCGTTTACACCTCACTTTTCCCGTTGAAAAATGAGGGAAGATTTTAATTTTAATAGATATTCAAATCTTCCCTCATTTTTCAACGGGAAAAGTGAGGTGTGAACGATCTTCTGTCTGCGCAGGCAGGCAGTCTGCAGAGGTCTGAATGCTCCTTTAAGGTCATATTCGGATTCTACAGACAAAATCCTATAAGAATTTAAGTTAATTATTAATTAATTTAAATTAATTTAGTTCATGAATTCTAGTTTCCTTAAAATGTTCTTTTTTTATTATTTTTATAAAATGTAAAATAAAAAATTAATTTTTCTCAGCAGAGGAAGCTGAAGAGTCCGAAGATGAAGAGGATCGCGCTGCTGCTTTCAAAAAATCAAGTGCTGAACCTGTACCGGATGTTTCCAAATTCAAAGTAAGTACAATGAAAATTATAATAAGTAACTTTTTAAAAATATCAAACATGCACGGAGAAAAATGGATAGTTAAAAGTAGATAGTTAGAAAATATATAATCTTTATTATTTGTATAGTCAGAAATATTATCTTCCTGAAATATTATATATTGCCGTTTAGTATATCTAGATAATCAAATTTATTATCCTGGATAGTCAACTTGCCGAGCGCTTGCGCAGAAGTTTGATTACCGATCACAAAAAAACGGTACTGCCTGGTTTAAATGACGTGAAATTGGTAAACAATTATTTTCGAACGAGTTTTTCTCTGCACACAAGCACTTTTTGCAAAATCTGCATCCGAAGCATTGACACAAATCTCATTAATTACCTGAATCCAAAATATTTTTTTAATCTATGCAGAAACGCGGTTGCAAAGTGGGAAATGCAAAAGCAACAAAAGTAATGTAATGACATGCGGCAAGACGTTTGTTACAGCCATTTGCCATTAGAGGGCAGAAGCATGCAGGGAGCGTAAAGGCTCAGCTGTTAAAATGATTCGCATTACATTACTCTGGCCTTTCCCATTTTGCAATCGCGTTTCTTTAAGAATTAAAAAAATATTTTGGATTTACGTAATTAAGAAGATTTGTGTCAATGGTTCGGATTCAGATTTTGCTAAAAGTGCTTGTGTGCAGAGAAAAACTCGTTCGAAAATGATTGTTTACCAATTTCACGTCATTAAACCAGGCAGTGCCGTATTTGTTGGGTGATAGCAGTTTGTCGAATATAATCTAGAAATTTCAGAGACTATCGAACACCGTTAAGTATAGTTTTATATTATTCGAAGTTTAAAAACATTGTCAAGTTTTTTTATAATGAATTTCAGATATAATATTGCTTAAAAAATATTGTTAAAAATATATATAAAACTTACGATTAGCAACATAACCTTTAAACCTGTCAAAAGGATTTAAACTTTTCAACGGTACCGTTAAATTGAGCGGATGGGAAGAAGAACTCGCCGAGCGCTCGACCGAAAGGGATAGTTCCAGTCAGGTAGCAGTGTATGGCCCAGAGGCGCTCACTATGCTACCTGACTGATATTATCCCTTACAACCACGCGCTCGGCGAGTTCTTCTTCCCATCCGCTCTATTAATGTATTCTGTTCTTTAAAATTTTCAGATTTTCCATAAAAAATTATTTATCTAGGAAAAATGTTCACTAATTTCTAAAAAAAATTAACTTTTATCATTAAATATTTCTTATTGATCAATTTAGATGTGTATAAACACAGCAACTTGCGTTTATTATCTAGGATAGTCAAATGTGAACATCTTGGATAATGGCAGTTAGTATGTAAGTTTGATTATCCCAAGATACTAAATTTGAATATCTAGATGGTTGTCCTATAGTTGAGTATCCAAGATCATCACCCTGATTATCTACATCGGTCTCAGAGACCGAGATTATTAATTTTTGTATAAAATCACACTAGAATTTACTATTTTCACATTGCAACCACCGGAAATAAGGGGACTTTTCGCATTTTTTACTATTTTCTACACTAAGTCACTAATCCGACAAATGTTCACCAAATTAGCAAAGTTTCTTACTATTTCGTCCAATAGTTCCAAACAACTGTAGTAAACTCAGAAATATTGTGTACGTAAAATTACTATAGGGTCAAACCATTTTATTTCGCCTAATGTATTTTTGATCTTTATAAAAAATTTCAATGTTTCGGGAAAATATTCTTATATGTTTTGGGATTTCATATAAAAAAAGATATTATAAATTGAGAGTACATGAAAAAAGGTTACATTGACAGGCATTACAAAATATTTAAAAAAGGAGTAATCTCTTTAAGAAATATAAAAAAAGCGATTGCTATTTATTTTTAAAGACTTAATTTGTGATTTGAACTGAATAAAAGTATCAAATAATTTATAATAAACTGTAAAATATGTTATTTAAGTTTCTGTATGAAATGTCATATCCATCATTTTTAACAATTTTTTTTGACAAAGTAATTTAATTTTCGTAAATCAGAATTATTTAAATAATAAGTATTTTAAATACACTTTATTATTATTTAAATACTTTTTTGATTATCAACTGAGAAATATAAAAAAATTTACCTTAAAAATGAACCATTCTCCATTTTATCGGGATTTTGAATGTTTGTAACTTCGTTGGAGAAAACCCGATTTATGCCAAAGTTTTGGAGCATGTTGATTAAAGCAATATCTTCTTGCTACTAAAATTTCGCGATGGGTTTTGCACTAGTTTTCAAAAGAAATTGATTTAAAAAAATTGTTTATTTTGAAGGTTACAGACAAGTATTATAACTAACTTGAAGTTGGTTTGCTACTTGCAATAAAAGTCAAATTCAAAATAAAACGATTTTTTTAAAATCAGTTTAAAACAAACCAACTTCAAGTCAGCTATAATACTTGTCAATAACCTTCAAAATAAACACTTTTTTTAAATCAATTTCTTTTGAAAACTAGTGCAAAACCCATCGCGAAATTTTAGTAGCAAGAAGATATTGCTTTAATCAACATGCTCCAAAACTTTGGCATAAATCGGGTTTTCTCCAACGAAGTTACAAACATTCAAAATCCCGATAAAATGGAGAATGGTTCATTTTTAAGGTAAATTTTTTTATATTTCTCAGTTGATAATCAAAAAAGTATTTAAATAATAATAAAGTGTATTTAAAATACTTATTATTTAAATAATTCTGATTTACGAAAATTAAATTACTTTGTCAAAAAAAATTGTTAAATATGATCGATATGACATTTCATACAGAAACTTAAATAACATATTTTACAGTTTATTATAAATTATTTGATACTTTTATTAAGTTCAAATCACAAATTAAGTCTTTAAAAATAAATATCAATCGCTTTTTTTATATTTCTTAAAGAGATTACTCCTTTTTTAAATATTTTGTAATGCCTGTCAATGTAACCTTTTTTCATGTACTCTCAATTTATAATATCTTTTTTTATATGAAATGAAATTATTTTTTACAAATCATTGTGCATTTCGTAATCCCAAAACATATAAGAATATTTTCCCGAAACATTGAAATTTTTTATAAAGATCAAAAATACATTAGGCGAAATAAAATGGTTTTGACCCTATAGTCGTTTGTAAATGCAGAAAGAAAGAGTGAAAGAAAAAATACGGATTTTTATCGCCGGTTTCCCGTCAATTCTTTACTAATGGAGATAAACTGGAAGGATTTTTACACACACAGACACACACACACTTATATATTTGTTGGATAAATATTTGAAGACACACACATGTTTAATTCACTTATATGTATAGACGCGGTTAATTAATACACTAATACACAACTGCACGCACGACAACGAATTTCACTGAAAGTATACATCTTTGTTTCCTTATATATTGAATGATAAAAATTTACAGCACTTACGAGAAAGCAGTTTACTTTTAACAACTTATTATAAGACATAGTTCTTGGGACAGGAATAAATGCAAAATGTATTAATTTATAATGGTCAATTTCTGAGATAACGAACGACCTACGTTTCACATTATATTCAATTATTCTAGATAATATCCAAATTTATTTTACATACGCGAAACATAGTCACTGTCAATGATCGGATGGCATCGGCTCATTTACGGAGATTGACGAAGTTAGCAACCAATAGAAATGCAGGCGCCATATGACTGCACTCGCTAGCCACACTTGCTCACCAAAAATTACTACAGTGGATAGTAGGTTTTAGTGGAAAATGTTTTCATTTGTCAGATTTTGTCTACCCAGTAAACAAAAACTAATTGAAATAAATTAAAAAGAATTCACAAAGAGCTTCAGTGAATCCCGCTTTCTACCAAAAATCTTAATTCATTTCAATCCGTTTGAATTAGTTTTTTTTACTGGGTAATGAAATTAGAGAAAACTATAATCAATTTTCGCTACATTTACAACTCTTACACAAAATATTAAAACTTGCTATTTCAATGTAGCAAATTTATCTATTTCTTTTGTAAATTTATCTAATTCTGTAGTACATTATGCTAAAAGTCCCCTTATTTCGGTCATTGCAACCATTTTTAGTAATTTTCACAAATGTGGGTCTCTCCGTGTAGATAGTAAATTTGACTATCCATTTTTCTCCGTGTGATTTTCTGTACAATTTATATTCTTATAAAAATGTGTATACATATATTATACATAATATACACATATATGTTACGGTCAATGTCGACAATGTCCAAAATGAGTGGGCATTGTCGACATTGCCCGAGTGTTTTTAATAAGGTTCACAGAAATGTGTCAGTGCCCGGGTTATTGCCCACTTATGTTTGGGCAATGTTGTTCAATAATGGAAATTTTTTTTTACTTAATATTAACTAGCGACATATGGGCGAATCTCTGGAACTTTTAACCTTTAAGTCCCTCACATTATTTTCACTTAAACAGCCTAAATATAAAAACTAATGATTTTTAAATATTTACATGTTTTAAAAAAGAAAATAAGGATTACGATTTAACCATTGATATAAATTATTTTGTTTTTTTTATGTTTTTCTTTATTAAAGTTCACAATACCATGATTTTGCAAGTGTCACTTTCACTTTTTCTAAAGGTATTTTAACTGTTTAAATAAAGTTTTTTTGGAAAACACGTTTTTTACTGTTATAAACTATTTAAAAAATCTTAAGAATTCCATAAACAAACTTAAAAAAAATAAAAAGTAAAAATTAGAAAAGATATAATCTTCTAAAAAGTGTCCCTCAGTTTTTGTGTCGCTGATCAAATCAAAATGGTTTTATAAAATAAACATTAAAAAACTAAATGAAAAAATTTGAAATAAGAGGCACAATTGAATTGTAATTCAAGTTTTATGTGCGTGATTTTTATTTTTATTTTCAACTATATTTTAAGCAAAATAATTGTTGGATACTTGTGATACTGGTATAGTACGGAAAATATGTCGCTGGTCAAATCATTAATTTCTCCAAAGTT